GGCTAATTTTTTCTATTTTTAATTCTTTGGCCAATTTCTTTCTATTTTTAGTAGAGAGGGGGTCTCGCTCTTGCTCAGGCTGGTCTAGAACTCCTGAGCTCAAACAATCCACCCACCTCGGCCTCCCAGAATGCTAGGATTACAGGCGTGAGCCACCGCGCCAGCCCGAACTCAGCTTAAATCCAAGTTTACCAGAGACCAGAGTTTGGGACCCGTCAGGTCAGAGGTTCCTGGTCTGGACCCCTGAAAAGCATTTGTATCCAAAACCACCAGCCCCTGGGACACCCCCAGCAGAAACGGGCCAGGCTCAGACCTGGGCAGAGGGCCTTCCCCAGGACCTTCAACGTGGGGGGACGTGCGGATCCAGGCAGATGTTCCTCCTCCCCCCCCGACTGAGGGGCAGTGACTGCATCTTGGCAACTGGATGCCCAAGTCCCCATGAAGGCCTCCAGCTGCCCATCCTGGACATGGGCTCCAGGTGCCCAACTCAGCTGCCGCACAGCCCGTTCCAGGCAGGCTCCAGGTGACCCAGGCTCCCGCCTCACCTTTAGATTCCCCCAGTCCTACCACCCCCATGCTCCCCACTCTGCTGCCCACCCACCTGCACCCACCTTTCTGGCCTGCTTACTGGGGTCCGGGAGATGTCCTCGTTCCCTCTGGGCCAGCGGGCTACTCCCACCTTAGGGCTCCAGGCTGAGACCAAAGGTTCCCACCCCGACTTTCCTCACAGCATTGTCACTGTCACTGTTTTCCCTCGGTTATTTCTTGGTTTACACTCTGTCCTCCCCTGCCCAAGACCAGGCATCATATACACGTTTGCTCACAGTCCCAGATCCTTGGGACCTGGGACACCGGGCGTGGGTTTCGCTGGGTGGCCTCAGTCATCGTTCCCACCCCAGGGAAAGGGGACTGGGAAAGGCCAGAAGTGTCTGCAGGGCACCTGGTGAAAATTCTCCTCGTTCTCTGACGCACTGCCACTAAACGCCAGCCGGCCTGACCCACACGAGATGACTGGAGGTCCCAAGAGTGCTGTCACAGCAAAGCTTCTCCAGGCCCCAGAGTGGCCCGCCAGGCGGGAGGCCAGGGAGGGCAGCAGCCGGTGCAGTGCGACCGACCCAGCTTGATCACCCCAGTCATTGCTCCCACTCACTGATCCCCCGAGTCCCTGAGTGCCACCCCCACGCCCAAGCTGACAGGTTCCTTTCTGGAGGATCAGAAGTCAACACTGGCTGAAATCTTGATTTCCTAACGTGCAGACTAGAGATAAGAGGACAAGCCTAGCTCAGAACGCCCAAAGCGTAAAAAGAGCTGGTACGCAAAGGAGCCTCCTGGCAGGTGAAGAGACACCAGGCTCCTGGGCAAACACACTGCCGCTGCCGTGTTGAATAAAAAGCTCACGCTCCCAGCTCAGAAGGAAGGACAAGGACGTGGAACAAGAGCTGAGCACAACTCTGACCAAGCACAGATGTTGG